AGGACACTTTTCCTGAAGACCTGGGCATATTTCTGTGGCCCATCAAGGTTCCCAGTTGAAAGAAAAGGTTTAATAACCTTTAATTCAAAGGTTTAATAACTTAGTGACTAAACTTTGGTGTCTAATCTGGCCTTTATGAACAGCTCAGCTGGGAAAATTAAATTGAGAAGAGATGGCGACCTTTACAACTGGACTCAATGTCCAAAGTTTTCATTCTAAATATTTTGGTGAAGAGAGTTTATTTTTTTTCTTCTCTTTAGGCCAAGATAGGCAATTGAACAGGCACTGGAAGTGAGGGGGAATATTATTATATCCACAGGAAGATGAAAAGAACTGTAGTGACTAGTAAACACAGCTCAGATCTCTTGATAATGTATTTTTTTCTACCTTAGAATAAACAACATATTAAAATTTGACTCTTTCTCACCCTTCACATCCATAAAAAGACCAGTAACCAGTGTTTTTTTCTAGGGATATGTAGAGGATCTACACCACAAAGATGGAAACCCATTGATTGGTAGATAAAGAATAATTTTCTCCTAAAATAGTCACCATCTTTTAAAATATTTAATTTCCAATTCATTATAATATATTCCTGCATAATTTTTCAGTTCCATTGTTTTATTTGTTCTATTCAGTATCAATTTCAGAAAGAATTTTTTTTTTTTGATACTGGGTATTGAACTCTGGGACATTCAACCACTGAGTCATATCCCCAGCCCTATTTTGTGTTTTATTTAGAGACAGGGTCTCACTGAGTTGCTTAGCACTTCAAAGTGGCTGAGGCTGGCTTTGAACTTGCCATCCTTCTGCCTCAGCCTCCTGAGTCTCTAGGATTACAGGCATGTACCACCACGCCAGGCTTAGATTTTTTATAGTAAATTTTGTTACCTTTTTGGGTAAATCACTTCTCAGTAGTAATTTATTTGAAGAAGTTTTTGATGATTCTTGCACAATTATTTTTCAATATAAATGTTAAAAAAAATTCTGCCCCAATTTTTTCTTTTCGAATGACTCTCCATTAAAACAAAATATACAAAACTAAAAAAAATCCTTGAGAACTGGAAAGTTGGATTTACATTCATTGAACATATTTTCACATGAAATACCAACTTATTTATTATCTTTTAATTCAGGAAAGTGCTAATTTTCTTAACTTGTAACGTGTCTTTTATGTTTTTCAATTGTATTTTGAAGTTTCTTATATTTACCTTCAATTGGATTTCTTTCTTCAACTATGTGTATGCATTTTCAATTGAATTTTTTTCATGTGTCCATTTTTTTTTACCAGTATTCCACATACACAAAAAAGGCTATTTGAAAATAGAGCTGTGGTCATGTAGCTAAGAGTTTTCTTCCTTTCATGGTTTGGTTAATTTGTAATATACATACAGTACCTAGGCAATGAGATCTTATTTTTGGAGCTAGCCTAACCTTAATACAACACCTAAAAAGACAGCATAATGAAAAGTATTAATTCTTGAACAGAGATGCAAATCTTTAAGAACTTCAAAAACAAGAGGCAGAATATTTAGAATAATGCAGCTTGACTTTTAAAAACTGTATTCACTTATGTATCCATTTATTCAAAATGATCATTAAATAGCCAGTGTGTGACAAATTTTGACCTGAGAACTCATTTTAGTTAATGGCCTTTTTATAACCTCTAGCACACAAAAACCTTCAGTTTGTATAGTCTAAGTGTACCTGCTGTGTAACAACTTTATACATAAAATAATCAATAACTACTGGCTCTTAGAGGGGCGTTGTGAAGGGCAGAGCATGAAATCTCTTTTTTATTGCACTTGTTTTTCTCATCACTATTACTCCAAAAGCATTTGATGTCAAATGTTGGTCATTTTGCACATGCCAGTCCTTCTGTGCTCCATCAGTGTACCACAATAACAAGCCTTTATTCTCCCAAATTTCCTCCTTCCACCTCTAACCCCACTTTCTCATGCCCTATATTTGAGTTGGTGAAGGCTGAATGGATGGTTTCTGAGTGCTCCTGTATTGTAACTTCCTTCAATTTCATTTGGAAGGCAGAGGTGTGAGTTGAAATATTAAAGAGAAGCATTTTCTACAATTTTTAAAAAACATTTTAAATTATGACAAAATCTGCTTAACATAAAGCTTACTACTCCATCATTTTTATGTGCACATTTCAGGGGTATTAAGTATAGTCACACAGTTGTACAACTACCCATCTGTGGAAAACTTTTTATTTTGTAGAACTGAAACTCTGTTCTGACTGTTTTTTTTTTCCCAACCCAGCATCATCCCTACCTATTTTGCATTCTTGTCATGTATCAGAATAGAATTTGTAGCAAGTTTTACTGTGACAATCCCATACATGGATTTGTTAGGATTTGATCCTGTCCCCTCTCCATTATTTTGCTCTCCCTGGCACTGCACCATCACCCCTTCACTGTCCCTTCATCTTCTCTAATAGTCACTCTTTTACTCTCAGGTCTTTGTTTTTTTCCTCCTCATTTTAGAAGAAACATGTAATGCTTGTCTTTCTGTATCTGGCCTCCAAACAATATGTGGACCTGAAATTCTTATATAAGTCCGTATAGTATATACAAAACTTTTACAGATTGACTCTGGACTCAGAAGCTCCTTCATCTGAATCCATGGAGAGAGAATTCCAGGAAACACCGGCCCAAGCCTCCCTTCATATAAAAAGGCCTTGAGGCCAGACCTGCATTAGAGTGCAGCCTTAGCACCTGCCTGACTTTCATAGCTGGGCACTTTGTCTTGGAGTCAGTGAAATAGTGGGGAATAAGGCATTGATCTTGGATCATTATGTAGGGACCCAATTGCTTTAATTATCTATCATGTTTCTTCTGTGTAGGATTCATACTTCTCACTTTTCAATTATTTTGAAATTCTGGAGTCTTCCTGTATTGATTAGATAGAATTACTTTCTCCCCTTGGAAGTTTTTATTAAAAAGATAACATTCCTTAAAATCGATACTCTTTAAGAAGAGAAGAAATAATGACCTTTCCAATAGTAGTGATTTTCTAACTAAGACCAGTTATTCATTTTTTTGGCTGCATTTAACAAATACAAATTATGTACTTGGTAAATGTCAATTACTGCTCAACATGTGGGATACACTACTGAAAAATGCAGTATCTCTCAATAATGACTTGACTTCTTATTACTTCCTATAATATTTTCATAACTTTTTCGTGGATTACAGTTTGGCTTACAATTGATTATTGCCTGTGCTTATAAAAATCTGTATTAAAATACCTATATCAATATCTTCTGGACTACAGAGATACCCCGGGATGTTCTACTAAAGCATTTTGATGTCGGGTAGAGTCCTAAGAATAAGGAAGATCTTATAGGTTATGATAGCTGTACTTTAGATTTACAAGAGCCACCTGAAAATTGATGTGCATTTAGATGATGAGGGATGAGGACATAGTTCTGACTTCTGGAAGGAGTCCAGGAAATCATTCTCTGCAGTTCAGGCCCTGCCCACTAGGAGGTGCAGCTTCCTAACACTAGCTCACTTCCTGTGTGAATTGCAACAATAGGCTCATCTTTTCACTATGACTTCAACATTCTTCATGTTAAGAATCAAGAGCATTATTTAGTTGACTCTCTAAAGATGGATACTTCTTCAGGCATAGTGATGGTGATGCTCTTGATACTTGGTGAGTAAAATGCTTTTTAAAATGGACTCTTTTTTCTATGATGCCAGCAAAGTTTTTAACTTTAAATTTTACTAAGAGTTTTATTACCAAGATGACCCAGATCTTCTCTCCCCTAGGAAGAACCCATGGAGACTCAGTGACCCAGATGGAAGGCCAAGTGACCATATCAGAAGGGGCTTTGTTGACTATAAACTGCACTTACTCATCCACAAGTTACCCTACTCTTTTCTGGTACGTTCAATACCCTGGAGAAGGTTTGCAGCTCCTCCTGAAAGCTGTGAAGGCCAATGATAAGGTCAGCAACAAAGGTTTAGAAGCCACATACAATAAAGAAATCACCTCCTTCCACTTGGAGAAAGCCTCCATCCAAGAGTCAGACTCGGCTGTGTACTACTGTGCTCTGGGTGACACAGTGGCAGGAACTGCAGGGGGAGCTGAGCATAAACTCATAGCAGCACCCAGGGGCCTGGCTGCTGAGTGTCTGCCTCTGGGGTTCACTCTGGTTTCAGCACAGTCAATGGTGTGTGCTGTTCCATTTCTCTTCTTGATGCAAAGTCATACAAATATCCCAAGCAGCAACAGAAGGATGGACACCCTCAACTCAGCTCTTCACTAGTGGAAGTAAAAACAAAAGCTGGCAGCATTAGTTCCTTATGCA